ATCCACGCGGGGTCAGAAACCAAGGCTCCTGCTGCTCCTCCTGTTGCTGCGCCTCTTGCTCCTCCTGCTGTTGCTCCTCCCGCTCCGTATTTCCCCCCTCAGCGAAGGCCGCCAGGACCGTTGAAAGATGAGAGGAAGAGGAGAGGGAGGAGGAGGCGCAAGGGAGGAGGAGAAGGAGGTGGAGGAGGAGAAGGAGGAGATAAATGACGAGTCCTGAGGGCCTCCGCGATCAGTGGCGAACCCCGCAAAGAAGACCTGCAAACTACGAGTGTACTCGCTTGCACGTTTGGCGTTCCGGTGTACAAAGGTGCTGAGGTGCACGGAGGCAATGTGGCGTGCACATGCGTTGCGGTACACATGATTGCTGTGGTGTACACAGGCGCTGTGGTGTACACAAGCGCTCTGGCGCACGCAGGCAATCTGGTGTACACAGGCGCTGTTGCGCACACGGCTGCTGCAGTTTGGTGTACATTGGCGACGTGGTGCTGCTGTGCACGCGGCTGCTGTGGTTTACGGAGGCACTGTGGTGTACACACGAAGCGGCGTTGTGTTGCACGCAGGCGTTGAGCCTTGCCGTGTGCACAAGAACTGTGGCGGCTAGGCAGAGTCACTGCTGGCGAAGGGAGCGAAACGGGGCGGGGGTTAAGCGAACTGGGCCACCATGCAAGAGGGGGGGAAGAGGACGACGGGGCGACGGCCGAGGGGAGAGGGAAACGGGCCGGGGCCGCTCAGAGGGGCGGGGTTGCCCAGGGTGGCGCGGCCGTCGCCGCAGGGGGGTCGGCAGCAGCAGCGGGGCTGTGGGGCCAGCGGCGGCGGGGGCGGGTGCTGACCAGGTCAGCTGGCAGAGGCGCACGTGCGAACAATCGGAGAAGAGCCGGAATCCCAAGGGAGGGGACGGCGAGGCCCTCGGCATTGGGCACGGGGGGGCGGGGGGAGGCGCGGGCGGCAAGACCAGCCCGGGCGCCGAGGCGGGGAGGTGTGCGGCCAGGAGGCCGAAGAGGCGCGTGCGCGCTGCTGACTACCCTGCGGGAGCCGCAAGGTGGGTCGCAACGGGGGCACGAGGGCGGGCACCTAACAGGTGCAGTCACGATAGGGGCGGGCCCCCCTGCTAGGAAAGACAGGGAGGACACCACGCGGGGAGAAGCAGCGGCCAAGGTGGTGGGCGAGTGGGCTGGAGGCCCGCCCGTCGCTGCGGCTCTGTCGCGCACAGGCGATTGATGCGCCGGTGGCGCGGACGCACCCTGGCGGGTGCACGCCGCGGCCGACCGTTACCCTCCCGCCCGACCCCCCCCAGGTAACCCTGGAAGGGAAAACAAAAACGCTCACTGCAGCGCCGAGAATGGTGACAACCTCTGTAGTGGCAGCTTCAAGTGGCCCAGCATCATCAGCTACATTGCTGGGAATAGTGGCAACGCTTATGTTGTAGCGGCAGCTTCCAGAGTCCCGGCATCATCAGCTACAGCGCCGGGAATGGTGGCGACCTTTGTAGTGGCAGCTTCAAGAGGCACGGCTTCATCAGCTACAGCGCTAGGCATGGTGGCAACCTCTTTAGCGGCAGCTTCAAGAGAAATTGGCAGTGGGAGCCGTGCGAGCAGGCAGGGCAGAGGAAGCAGGTGGCAGAGGCGAAGAAGCAGCCCGACATCATCAGCTGCCGAGGTGTACCTGCCGAAGGCGCGCGCGAGAAGGCAGTGCGGAGTCAGCAGGAGACGGAGGCGTAGCTGAAGCCCGATCCCACCAGTTGCCGAATACCTGCCGACGGTGTGTACCTGAGCAAGCAGGGCAGTGGCAGTAAGAGGGGTAAGCGATTGCTGGAGCCCGATTGCACCAGCTGCCAGGATGCACCCACCAACGGAGCGTGTGAGAAAGCGGGGCAGTGGCAGCAGGAGGCAGATGCGAAGAAAGAGCAAGACGCCATCAGCCGCCACGGTGCCCCCCCGCGGACGGCGCGTGCGAGAAGGCAGGGTAGTGGCAGCAGGGGGCAGATGCGAAGGAGTAAACCGGCGGCATCAACTGCAGAGGGGAGCTTGCAGAAGGCGCGTTCGAAATGTCAGGGCACGGGAAGGAGGATGCAGAGGCGAACGAGGACCAGATGTCATCAGCTACCGTGTACTTGCTAACGGCGCGTGGGAAAAAGGCAGGGATGTGGGTGGTAGCCGCAGCCGGCCTCAGGGTGGAACCGTGGGGCTCCCGTGGTCGTGCCTGGCCGTTGTTGGCACGTGCACGCGGGCGCAGCGTGCACTTGCGGGGCGATAATATACTCGGTTGCCGTCGAAAGCCAGGTGTTGGAAGTGATCGCTGTCGGCAGCCGAGTCGACGCCAGCTGCAGCGCTAAGCAGAGCGGGTGCGAGAAGGAGGCGCAGATGAAACCCGACGTCCACGGGGCCTCCGATGCCGTGCTCGAGGGGTGCGGGGCGTCCGAGGCCACCAGCGAGGCAGGCTTTCGACGTCGAGGAATTCTTCGTCAAGATGTTCACCGCCGACGGCGGCGTGGACGTGGGCGTGGACATGGCTGGCGTGGTGCGTGGTCCTCCAGATGGAGGCAGATGGAGACATCGACGTCACCATCGTGCATGAGTTCATGAGCTCCTGCCGCTTCAGGGAGGTATTCCGCGTGGAGGGCGTGAGAATCTTCCGGGTGGAGTAGTGTGAGGAATGCGAGGAGGACTTGTCAAGTGACGGGTTGCTTGGCCAGGGTGGAGATTGCAGTTTCCCGCCAGTAGCAGTTGCGAGGAGGGCTTGTTCACCGAGTGGCTGGAAGGGAGACTGCAGCTCCCGGCCCGCGCCGCCGCCGCCGCGCGCCCCTGGCCCCACCCTCGGGGGGCCTTGCGCGCGGCGGCGAGGCGGCGACACTTTCCGACCATGGCGATCGATGAGTTGCCCTGAATTGATCCTCCTCTTCCTCCTCCTCCTCCTCCTCCTCCTCCTCCTCCCTCCTCCTCCTCCTCACCACTAGCTGCCCGCTCTCAGACACTGGGCCTCCTTCCTCCCCCCTCCCCCCTTCCCCTTCCCCTCCCCCCCTTCCCCTCCTCCATCCATGTGGATGGCAGGCAACTCCGAGGCAATTGCCCTCCTCCACCCCCCCCTCCCCCCTCCCTTGCCGTTTTGGCTCAGGGGCCTGCCCGCCTGCCCGCGCTGAGCCGGCCGCGGCTCGTCTCCTCCCTGCTCGGCGCCGTGGTCCGAGCGGGTGGCTCCCGCTGGGCGGTGGCAGCCGCGGCGGTCGCCATGCGGTGCGCGGGTCGCGCTGCGTCTGCCAGAGAGGCTGCATCGTTCGGACGTGTGCATATTTTCTCTGCGAGGGCCATGAAGGATCGGGGGTGGACAGAACCCCCAACAGTGACACGTCGATTAGTGAATTGTCCCTTCTCGGTTTTCGAGAGGTCGCCGTGGCCGTTATTTTCCAGGCTTGCGCCCGCCAGGTTTGGGCCTCAGGTCGTTTTCACTAAACCACGTTTTACAAAAGGGAGGTCTGTCCATCCCCGAAAGGAGGATCCTAGATCATCTGGCAAAGAAAGTACACGCACGAAATCGAAAAGTGCGCGGGGAATGGGCGTCCGAGCGATGGCGAGAAGGAGGCTGACGAAATGGGACGTCTGCCAGGGAGGTGGAGGCCATGATCGAGATGCCGACGCCCGTCATCGCGGCGAAGGCCCTAGCGGCGCGCGACCTGGAGCCGCTGTGCCGCTCGCGGCGAATGTCCTCGCGGCGCGCGACGTGGAGCCGCTGTGCCGCAGGGGCGAGGACAAGGCCGCCAGGAACGTGGCCGAGCATGCGCTCTGGTGGTGAGGCCTTGCCCAAAGGAGGGCAAGAGGGCGAAAAGCGGTGGCAGAGGCGCGGCCCGCCGTGCCGGCGCGGCCCGCCGTGCGGCCGCCGGTGGCAGCCAAGGCTCGGACGAGGGCAGTCGCGAGCTGGAGGAGACGTTCGGGCTCGGCTGCCAGATGAAGGAGAAGGATTTGATGCGTGAGGAGAGTACAGTGGGGGCGCCCATCAATAAACCATCTGAGTTTCGTCTGGGTACCCTGGGTTTCGTCTCTCCTCGCGCTGCGCGGTGACTTCCCGCAGCCGTTGAAGGAGCTGCTGCGTTCAGGGTGCTCCAGGTTTCCCCTCAGGTGCACCTCGCGCACGGGTTCTCAGGGTTGGGTTTCTTGCGGGGGGTTCTTGCGGCCGCGCCCACACTGTAAGTATAAGAAGGAGAAGAGCGACGAGGAGGTCGCCACTCAGAAAGTGAGCGTCTTCGGCGCCGCGCGGGGGGGGGGGGGCGAGGCGGTCCAGGAGCTCGAGGCCCAGCTGGAGGAGGCGGAGGAGCTTCGCGACGCGGCCTTGGAGGCGATCCTCGGCGCGTGGCTTGCCGACGAGCTCATGGACGACAAGGAAGGAGAGGTTGGAGGCTGACGAAGGGGCCGTGCAGCACGGGTGAGTCGGCAAGTCTCGTTCATCGTCGTGGCGCTCTTCGGCAAGGGCGGAAGGCAAGGCCACCAGTCGAGGGCCCGCCCACACGTTCGTGCCAGTGTCCGAGGAGGGCACTTGCAGTGGCAGGCGTTGGCGTCGGCTCTCGTCCTGGGGTGGCACGGTTGTCTCTCGCGGGCTTGGCCCGCACTTTTTCAGATTCCGTCTTTAGAACCCCCTCTTCCCTCCCTCCCCCCTCGCCCCTCCCACCCCCATCCGCCCTGCGACCCTCAACGGCAGAGGGGTGTCCCCCTTTCCTTTTGCCCATGTTGTTCCCCCCCCCTTCCCCCTTCCCCCTTCCGCTGCTTTTTGGCGGCCCCAGGGCCCAGCAAGGCCCCCTAGAGGCTGAAATTGAACCAGCAACCGTCCGTCGAGGTTTTTATCGAACAACAAAGAGATGTCATGGTCCCTCCTCTCCCCCTTCCGCCGGCGACGATGACGACGACGCGGCGCTGCCGTCGCCGCCGACGCGGCCGCCGCCGCCGCCGCCGCCGCCGCCTCCGACGACGACGACGACGCCTCCCCCGCAGCGGAGGGCGGGGGCCCGTGGCGGGGAGGCTGGTGCGGAGCCGGCGCGCGGCGTCGCAGCCGTTCACTTGGCAAGAGAGGCGGATCCCCTGGTGGGGGGGGGGAAGAGGCAGGAGGAGGAATGACGGGGCAAGAACGGGAGGAGGGAGGAGGAGGAAGAGGAGGAAGAGGAGGAGGAGGAGGAGGAGAAGGAGGAGGAGGAGGAGGAGGAGCCGGAGGAGGAGGAGGAGGACGAGGAGGAGGAGGAGGAGGAGGAGGAGGACCGGTGTAAACCCAAGACTCATCAACAATTTTGGAATTTGCACCCTCCGTCCAAGCTCCGTGTGCATAGACCCCTGCCAGAGTTCATTTCTATTGAAGCAAAGGCCCCGTTGGAGGACACCCGCGTGAAAATCGTAGCGCGTTCTAATACACCGTTCTCAGGATCCTGAGTCGTTCGAAAGCACGGTTTCTGATACGGCAACCATGAGAACCAGTGAACCTCTTGCAACATTTTGAAACGTGCGCGGCGCCACGGCGAGAGCCACATGTTGAAAAGGAACCGCAACCACCCGCCCTCAATCCGTTCCGGAGCGAGCGTGCGCGGCGTTGAGGCGAGAGCCACATTTTCGAAGTGGCCCGTCCTCCATCTGTGAAGCTGTGGTCCGTCTAAGCTTCAGGCTCATAAGTGGTATGGAAGTCTCAGGCGGAGCTCTTGCCCCGCACTTCCGACTTGGCCTCGGGGTGCGACACGGAGGAGTTATTCATAACGGAAAGGAATGAAAATAAGGAGGAGGAGGAGGAGGGGGAGAAACACAGGGAAGAAGAGTTGGATTAGGAGGAAGATGAGGAGGAGGAGGAGGCAGAAGGGAGCAGGAGGGGGGAGGAGGGGGGGGATGAGGCAGTCGGAGGATGAGGAGGAGGAGGAGAAGAAGGAGGAGGAGGAGGAGGGGAGGAAAAGTGGAGGAGGGAGGATGGGGGAAAGACGGATGTGGGGGGTGGGGGGGCGGGAGGAGCAGGGAGGAAGGACGCAAGGGGGGAGGGGGGATGTACGCAGGTATGGCCTTCTTCACCTCTTCCTTGCCTCCCCTTTGCTTTCCTTCGTCTCGTAGATGTTTTCGTCGTTCCCCCTCCATCATGTTTTCCCATTCGTGCGTTTGGCATGAACGTTGGATGTATGCATCCACCGTGCGTCAACAGGGAGGGGGATGAGGCAGGGACGATTGAGGGAGTGCGTTGGCGGAGTGCGAAGAGAAGCCCATTCGATCGCTCACGTGGCCATAGTACGGTCTCGAACTGACAGGGTGCGCGGCGTCTTCTGCGACTCGCCCTGGCCAGAGCTCGCTTGATGCGAGTGCGCTCGAGCTGGATGGCCGTTAGGGCTCTGGCGACAGCGGACGAAAGGGGGGGGGGGCGAGGAAAGGAACGGAAAGAAAGGAAGGCGAGGGCCCGACCTCGTTGGGCGTCCCGTTTGGCGCCGCATCCTGTGGCGTTGTGGAGAGATATTGATCGGCGGGGGGAGGGGAGGAGCCGACTGGAGGCGAGTGGGGTACGAACCATCCTTGCCGCACGGGATCACCCCGCTTCTTGGAATGCGCGGTAGGGGCATGATCTGGGGCCTCCCAGAACTCTTCGTGTGGGTCCCACGGCACGCGCACGTCGTGTGGGTGAGCAGTGTCTACGTCGGCTCCTGGGTCCAAGGATCCGGGAGGGAGATGGGAGGGAGGAGGAGGGGGAGGAAGGATGGGGGAGCGAGGGGGGCGTGCTCGGTCTCACAGAGGTGGCAGCGGCGCGAGTCAAGAACTTCGTCGACATCCGAATAGCTGACTTTTCAGTTTCGGCGGTTGAACTGAATTTCTCCCGCTGGGGGTGTCTGCAGACCCCAGGGCATGCATCTGGGGAAGAGGCTGGGTCCTCGGCAACCTCGGATTGAAAAAGCCACTGTCGGATGTCCGGGCTTGGGGCGTCGGATGTCTGAGATTGGGGCGTTCCCGCGTGCCCTGAGCTTCGCCTGGAGGCAATCAATGCGGAAGAATGCACCCAGAGACCTCGAGCCTCGAGCTTCGAGTCTCGAGTTCTGGCGTGGCGGGGGTCAGCTTCCCTCGTGCTGGCGGCGCGCACAAGGGAGGTGTCTCGCGAGGTGGGCGGCCGGCTAACAGTTCGCTGGGCTTTTTGGACGGCAAGGGCCTTCTCAGAGTCAGCGGCGAGCTCAGGGGGGTAGGCAGAGGTCGCGGGACTTCTCAGAGGCTCGGAAGGCCCCAGGCCTTCTGAGAAGTTGTTGCAGGCCTTCTCCGATAACGGAGACTGCTTCTCAGAAGGCCTGAGAGCTTCTCGAAAGCAGAGACGGCTTCTCAGAAGGCCGGGGAGCTTCTCGACAACAGAGACGGTTTATTGGAAGGCTGGGGAGCTTCTGAGAACCCCCGCCGCCTTCTGAGGAGGCCTGCCCCCTCTCACTTCCCCACGGGGATCTCCGCCGAGAGAATCACTCCTGCAATCGGGGAAGACTTTTTGAAAGTTGTCAGGCCCTTCAATGAGGATGTAACTCCTGGGAGGTTCAGTTTAGCACTGCGCTGCTATATCCGTGCTCCTAATTCGTCCTGCGCTTGCCTAGCCAGCCCGCCCTACTTAGTCCAGCTTTGTCCTTGGCGCAATCTTCCCTCGTCGGAGTCTCGTTCCGAGGAAGACCTCCCCGACGTTGCTTCCTAACTCCGAAGAGTGTCTTTTCCGTCTGAGGAGCCCCCCACCTTTTTTACAAGGCCGCCTAACTCGCGCCAGCCCCTTGCGCGCGCCGCAAATCGCCGCCGCCAAGGCGCGAGACCGACGCCAGACTTCGAGGACCTGGAGGCACGAGGCCTGTGGGCGCTGTTCCCGATCTGCTGTGCCTCAGGAAGGGCTTCCAGTGGCCACGGCTGGGTCCCCCTCGAAACTGTGGCAGTGTAATCGGGCCCCATCTAGGAGGCCCCCCTCCTCTTCGAGACCCTGCAGAAGAGCATGGTCAATCATGAACGCCACAACAAACAACTTACATCAGTTCAACACGCCTGGTCGAGCAGGTGGCAGCCTTACGGGCGCCAGGCACAAAGCCCTGGGCCAGCTGCTTCAGAGTCCTCCCTCCGTGTTCGCTGGGCTTGCTTTTGCAGAGGGGTCAGGAGCGGGGCCAGGACACGATTACAGGCACTCCACCAACAGGCTTCACACACCACAACCGGGGTGGGAGGGGGCAGGGGCGCCAGGGGAGAGAAGAACCTCCAGGAGCCTGTGGGGACGGTGACCAGCAGACACGAGGGACCGCGACGCAGCGTTGACCTTCGGAAGAACGCTGCCCCCGCACTCTCCCTCAGATGTAGCCCCCAAGCACCTGCGGACATGGCACCACACGGCACCGCCCACGGACACCACAGAGTGCACTACCTTGGGGCGGTACATCTGGAGGGTGGGGGCGAAGCGCTTAACGGTAGTGTCGTGCTGAGCGGCAGCTGTGCCCGCCATAGCAATCCACAGACCGACACTGACAACGAACATATCAGACTGCTGAACGCGAGAGAGCAGCTCGGGCGAGGCACGATGGGGCCGCACGGTCTCTTTGGCCGCCTGGTCGGCCAAGGCGTTGTCCGTGCGGTCGATGTCGCGCACGCGGCCAGCCTGGACGTCGGCTTCGGTGGCGTGAGCCGTAACCTTTGAGACTTGGGGCCCAGACTGGCCCAGGCCCAGGCCTCCGAAGTCTTCTAGAAGCCTCCAGAATCTCTTCCAATGATGGGCCCGCGCGGACCTGGGATGGGTCGTGGCAGCTTCATCTTTCTCCAGGATCCCACGGCCCCACCGTCGATGTGGGGCAGAGTTAAGACAAGAACAAACATGACTGCGGGTAGCTCGGCCCGGTCGACATCGGGAAACGGCTCGCAAAGAAGACCAACCAGCCTCCCGGGCATTGGCGCGTTGCTGTGGGGAGCCAGGGCCATCGCTGATGGACACGAGCGCCCATCCACACACGCACACATCAGGAAACTGAGAGTCGAAAGCCGTGCCGTCGACATAAACGGACGGCCCCTCAACAACCCCCGAACCTCTAGTTACCCACGTGACGTTCTCGTCTTGGGGAGGTTGGAAGGAATGGAGGGGGAGCGGCCAGAGACACCGTTTCCACGAGCGTGACGACGGGAGGCAGGTTTTCCCGCGGCGCAAGGTTGGCAATTGCTGGAGGCATCAGCTCGGACCACGATGACCTGCACAACACGTGGCGGTGCCAGAGAGAGCCTCGCGATGCCTGACACTTCAAACGGGCAGCTGAGGACGCGCTGCCGGCAGCGGCTTTGCGCAGCATGGGCCACTGCCCGTTGACAAGAACACTGCGGAGGCAAGCCCTCTCGCTCGCCTGCGGCGCGCGACACATCTCGGCCAGGGCGCGGGGCGGCTGCCCTCGAGAGACGAGGCGGCGCAGGAGGGCTAAGTTGCACCCGTCTCGCAGATGGCCTGGCATCGTTCGGACGTGTGATTTTTTTCTCGGCGAGGACCATCGAGGAGCATCCTTCATCATTTGGCGAAAAAACCACGCACGAAACCGAAAAAAGCACGGAATGGGCGTCCGAGCGATGGCCAGATGGTCGAGGCCCTCGACTGCTGCCACCCGAAACCACTGCCAGGCTTCGACCGCCTGCCCTGCAAACTTGAGAAGGTGTGAGGACACAGCGGGGGTAAATCAACGAGCGCCTCTTTGTGCGACCTCCAGGCGGGAAGTTCTTGCTGCGTCCAGCCGGGGCGAGCAACAGACAACACGAGCGCACCACCAGGGCCCTTGACCTGCGCCCAAGAGTGGGTGTGCTGGCCAGCCCAGTTGCACACGGAAGCTGGTACGTGCCTGGGCAGCCAGCTTTGCCATAGGGCTGAGGCCATCGCTCCAACGGGGGCCTTCGCGGCCCTGAACGCGGGATCGAGCTGGCCTCGGCCCTGCAGCATGAGACTGGGCGTGCGGCTCGTGCCATCGGTGCGAGGCTCGCACGCTTGCAACACAGTGGTGCGAGCGTGGTTCCAACTGCTGATTCGTGAGGCCAGTGCAATCGACCCCATACTGGAAGGAGGCCTGCGGCCCCGCTTGGACAAGCCTCTGCGCGGCTCG